GGGCACATATATATATATATATATAATTTTCACCCGCAACATAAACATACGCATAAATCCAACATGTATCATTTCCTGCACTATATACACACACATTAATTATATATATATATATAGATGTGTATATGCATTTTGCCACTTAGAGATCAGAACCTCGCAGCTTCCAACCTATTCGTATTGGTATACCTAAACATAAGCTTCTCCCCTGTATTCGACACGAAGCCCCAGGCGCAAAGAGTGAATCCGAGAAGCGAAACCGATGCCTCGGGAGTAATGTAGGGCCCTTAAAAAAATAGAATAGGGTTTTGGGGTTCTTTATAGTATAAATATAATAATGAAACCCCAAAATAGTATAGGTAATTATTTAGGCCCCTATATTACACCCCTGGTTTTTGGGCCGGTGGACTTGCAGTGAGATTTGGGTGCAAGATCATGCTGCTGGCGCTGATGATCGTGATGATGAAACTGATGGTGATGATGATGGGGCTGACGGCTCGACGACAGTCCGAAATCTCTCAATTCACAAAACCTGCTTCGTGGCGCAAGCTTGCATGCGTAAGCTCCGTATCCCTTGCACCCCGACCACCGAACAAGACAGACAGGTTGGAGGCATCTGCGGACTTGTGGTTCAACGAACAGGTTTTATTTTACGACACGAAATCTTAGGTGCTTTTCCCAAAACGTTTAACCTGTCAATGCACATCACAAATCCCGAACCCTCACCAGATCAACCATGGCTGTAGCCCAACATCGAGCCCGTTTCGGGCTGATACGGGTTGAGGGCCCCTACACAGCAAACCCCAAACCCTATGTAACCCCAAACCGCAAACCCCTAAACCTCTAGACCCCTAAACCCTAAACCCAAAAGAAACTGCAACGCTGCAAGAGCAAATTGTAATTTTCAGGCCCAGAGGGTTCAGGGTTAAGGGCTAAGCCGGTACATCAATCAACCCCCAACAACACATCCTCCAAAACCCTACACACCACAATGCTGAAACTCTAAGGCAACACCCCTACCTAAACCCTAACAACTACAATGCATGAGCCCTAAACCTGAAACCGAAACCCTACACCCCAAAGCCTGCACAAACCGCCTTAAATCCTAGAACACCCTGTCACAAAACCCTAAGCGCAACGATGCACAACCCTAAACCCTAAACCCTAAACCCCACCCAGGAGCTCCACCAGCGCTTCTGGAAGAGGCCAGATACCCCAGGCCCTGGGAAAAGCTACGGGGAGCTAGGGTTTAGGGTTTAGAGCGTAGGGCTTAGGGTTTAGGGTTT